CTGTTTACATCACTGAACACTTTACTGTTTACCTCAACTGAACACTTTACTGTTTACCTCCACTGAACACTTTACTGTTTACCTCAACTGAACACTTTACTGTTTACCTCCACTGAACACTTTACTGTTTACATCACTGAACACTTTACTGTTTACCTCAACTGAACACTTTACTGTTTACATCACTGAACACTTTACTGTTTACCTCAACTGAACACTTTACTGTTTACATCACTGAACACTTTACTGTTTACCTCCACTGAACACTTTACTGTTTACCTCCACTGAACACTTTACTGTTTACATCACTGAACACTTTACTGTTTACCTCCACTGAACACTTTACTGTTTACATCACTGAACACTTTACTGTTTACCTCAACTGAACACTTTACTGTTTACATCACTGAACACTTTACTGTTTACCTCAACTGAACACTTTACTGTTTACCTCCACTGAACACTTTACTGTTTACCTCAACTGAACACTTTACTGTTTACCTCCACTGAACACTTTACTGTTTACATCACTGAACACTTTACTGTTTACCTCCACTGAACACTTTACTGTTTACCTCCACTGAACACTTTACTGTTTACATCACTGAACACTTTACTGTTTACCTCAACTGAACACTTTACTGTTTACCTCAACTGAACACTTTACTGTTTACCTCCACTGAACACTTTACTGTTTACATCACTGAACACTTTACTGTTTACCTCAACTGAACACTTTACTGTTTACATCACTGAACACTTTACTGTTTACCTCCACTGAACACTTTACTGTTTACCTCAACTGAACACTTTACTGTTTACCTCCACTGAACACTTTACTGTTTACATCACTGAACACTTTACTGTTTACCTCCACTGAACACTTTACTGTTTACCTCCACTGAACACTTTACTGTTTACATCACTGAACACTTTACTGTTTACCTCCACTGAACACTTTACTGTTTACCTCCACTGAACACTTTACTGTTTACCTCAACTGAACACTTTACTGTTTACCTCCACTGAACACTTTACTGTTTACCTCCACTGAACACTTTACTGTTTACATCACTGAACACTTAACTGTTTACCTCAACTGAACACTTTACTGTTTACATCACTGAACACTTTACTGTTTACCTCCACTGAACACTTTACTGTTTACATCACTGAACACTTTACTGTTTACATCACTGAACACTTTACTGTTTACCTCCACTGAACACTTTACTGTTTACCTCCACTGAACACTTTACTGTTTACATCACTGAACACTTTACTGTTTACCTCCACTGAACACTTTACTGTTTACATCACTGAACACTTTACTGTTTACCTCAACTGAACACTTTACTGTTTACCTCAACTGAACACTTTACTGTTTACCTCAACTGAACACTTTACTGTTTACCTCACTGAACACTTTACTGTTTACATCACTGAACACTTTACTGTTTACCTCAACTGAACACTTTACTGTTTACATCACTGAACACTTTACTGTTTACCTCCACTGAACACTTTACTGTTTACCTCAACTGAACACTTTACTGTTTACCTCCACTGAACACTTTACTGTTTACATCACTGAACACTTTACTGTTTACCTCCACTGAACACTTTACTGTTTACCTCCACTGAACACTTTACTGTTTACATCACTGAACACTTTACTGTTTACCTCCACTGAACACTTTACTGTTTACCTCCACTGAACACTTTACTGTTTACCTCAACTGAACACTTTACTGTTTACCTCCACTGAACACTTTACTGTTTACCTCCACTGAACACTTTACTGTTTACATCACTGAACACTTTACTGTTTACCTCAACTGAACACTTTACTGTTTACATCACTGAACACTTTACTGTTTACCTCCACTGAACACTTTACTGTTTACATCACTGAACACTTTACTGTTTACATCACTGAACACTTTACTGTTTACCTCCACTGAACACTTTACTGTTTACCTCCACTGAACACTTTACTGTTTACATCACTGAACACTTTACTGTTTACCTCCACTGAACACTTTACTGTTTACATCACTGAACACTTTACTGTTTACCTCAACTGAACACTTTACTGTTTACATCACTGAACACTTTACTGTTTACCTCAACTGAACACTTTACTGTTTACATCACTGAACACTTTACTGTTTACCTCCACTGAACACTTTACTGTTTACCTCCACTGAACACTTTACTGTTTACCTCAACTGAACACTTTACTGTTTACCTCAACTGAACACTTTACTGTTTACCTCAACTGAACACTTTACTGTTTACCTCCACTGAACACTTTACTGTTTACATCACTGAACACTTTACTGTTTACACCACTGAACACTTTACTGTTTACATCACTGAACACTTTACTGTTTACCTCAACTGAACACTTTACTGTTTACCTCAATTGAACACTTTACTGTTTACATCACTGAACACTTTACTGTTTACCTCCACTGAACACTTTACTGTTTACCATCACTGAACACTTTACTGTTTACCTCAACTGAACACTTTACTGTTTACCTCAACTGAACACTTTACTGTTTACCTCCACTGAACACTTTACTGTTTACATCACTGAACACTTTACTGTTTACCTCAACTGAACACTTTACTGTTTACCTCAACTGAACACTTTACTGTTTACATCACTGAACACTTTACTGTTTACCTCCACTGAACACTTTACTGTTTACCTCCACTGAACACTTTACTGTTTACATCACTGAACACTTTACTGTTTACCTCCACTGAACACTTTACTGTTTACCTCAACTGAACACTTTACTGTTTACCTCCACTGAACACTTTACTGTTTACCTCCACTGAACACTTTACTGTTTACCTCAACTGAACACTTTACTGTTTACCTCAACTGAACACTTTACTGTTTACATCACTGAACACTTTACTGTTTACCTCCACTGAACACTTTACTGTTTACCTCCACTGAACACTTTACTGTTTACATCACTGAACACTTTACTGTTTACCTCCACTGAACACTTTACTGTTTACATCACTGAACACTTTACTGTTTACCTCAACTGAACACTTTACTGTTTACATCACTGAACACTTTACTGTTTACCTCAACTGAACACTTTACTGTTTACCTCCACTGAACACTTTACTGTTTACCTCAACTGAACACTTTACTGTTTACCTCCACTGAACACTTTACTGTTTACATCACTGAACACTTTACTGTTTACCTCAACTGAACACTTTACTGTTTACCTCAACTGAACACTTTACTGTTTACCTCCACTGAACACTTTACTGTTTACATCACTGAACACTTTACTGTTTACACCAACTGAACACTTTACTGTTTACATCACTGAACACTTTACTGTTTACCTCAACTGAACACTTTACTGTTTACCTCAACTGAACACTTTACTGTTTACCTCAACTGAACACTTTACTGTTTACCTCCACTGAACACTTTACTGTTTACCTCAACTGAACACTTTACTGTTTACCTCCACTGAACACTTTACTGTTTACATCACTGAACACTTTACTGTTTACACCAACTGAACACTTTACTGTTTACATCACTGAACACTTTACTGTTTACCTCAACTGAACACTTTACTGTTTACCATCACTGAACACTTTACTGTTTACCTCAACTGAACACTTTACTGTTTACCATCACTGAACACTTTACTGTTTACCTCAACTGAACACTTTACTGTTTACATCACTGAACACTTTACTGTTTACCTCAACTGAACACTTTACTGTTTACCTCAACTGAACACTTTACTGTTTACCATCACTGAACACTTTACTGTTTACCATCACTGAACACTTTACTGTTTACTTCAACTGAACACTTTACTGTTTACCTCCACTGAACACTTTACTGTTTACATCACTGAACACTTTACTGTTTACCTCAACTGAACACTTTACTGTTTACCATCACTGAACACTTTACTGTTTACATCACTGAACACTTTACTGTTTACCTCAACTGAACACTTTACTGTTTACCTCAACTGAACACTTTACTGTTTACCTCCACTGAACACTTTACTGTTTACCTCAACTGAACACTTTACTGTTTACCTCAACTGAACACTTTACTGTTTACCTCCACTGAACACTTTACTGTTTACATCACTGAACACTTTACTGTTTACCTCAACTGAACACTTTACTGTTTACCATCACTGAACACTTTACTGTTTACCTCAACTGAACACTTTACTGTTTACCATCACTGAACACTTTACTGTTTACCATCACTGAACACTTTACTGTTTACTTCAACTGAACACTTTACTGTTTACCTCCACTGAACACTTTACTGTTTACATCACTGAACACTTTACTGTTTACCATCACTGAACACTTTACTGTTTACCTCCACTGAACACTTTACTGTTTACCTCCACTGAACACTTTACTGTTTACCTCCACTGAACACTTTACTGTTTACCATCACTGAACACTTTACTGTTTACCTCCACTGAACACTTTACTGTTTACCTCCACTGAACACTTTACTGTTTACCTCCACTGAACACTTTACTGTTTACATCACTGAACACTTTACTGTTTACCTCCACTGAACACTTTACTGTTTACCATCACTGAAAACTTTACTGTTTGCCTCCACTGAACACTTTACTGTTTACCTCCACTGAACACTTTACTGTTTACCTCCACTGAACACTTTACTGTTAACCTCCACTGAACACTTTACTGTTAGCCTCCACTGAACACTTTACTGTTTACCATCACTGAACACTTTACTGTTTACCTCCACTGAACACTTTACTGTTAGCCTCCACTGAACACTTTACTGTTTACCATCACTTAATCACTTTACTGTTTATCTGACCAGAGGCAGATCTGAACATCACTCACATCAGCTGTAAAGCATCAGATCACATGAGAGTTTGTGCTGGTTACATGCATGTGTGAGGACGATGAAGTGTAAAAGAAAGCTCTGTCACCTGTAGAAGCGCAGGGCGATCTCTGGCTGGTCTGAGTAGAAATGATTGCTGCCGATACAGGCGATGGCCTCCACGTGTGTGTTGTCCTGCTTCAGGACCTCTTTATAGTATTCAGTGGCCGAGATCACGTTATTCATTTCCTGGGGGACAGTTAGCCAGATCAAGCCACAGTTTGTTCAGCGATGTGAAGATAAAGAAATATACCTCATGTATGCGTGCGATCCCCGTGAGCAGCGTGACCTCGGCGGGGAAGTGATCCAAGCCCTGCTTAAACACATTCAGAGCCGTGATGGGCTGATCCAGACGCTGGTACACCTGCACACATACACACACTCTTACTGGGCTTCCTGGGACACAGGCACCTGAGCTGTAGCACTGACCCTCACACACCTTGGCCAGGTAGAGGTAGGAGTCCACGAACTCCTGCTGAGCGAGCGCAGACCGGAACTGCTTCTCTGCTTCCCGGTGCAAACCCAGTCTACGAACACACACATACTCACACTTCATTGACATAAAAAAAAAAATCTCTTAACCCCCTGAGCCCGACGGCGTCGTCGACGATGCCACACGTCACCTCCGATAAATGTTTACATAACTCGATGACAGATTTATCGATTTTCTTACCGTTTTTTCCAGCAGAAAGCTAACGAGCTAGCCATCACGGGGGTGTCTTTCGGGTCTTTCTAGCCTTTACAGAAGGTTTTCTATCCAGCCTGGAACTTGTGCTTCCTTTCAGAGGTTTTCAGCAATAAATCCAAACGCTTTATGTCAAACTTTGATAATCTTGAAGCCCATAATTCATAAATATTCGGTCATTTTTGCCGCTAGCTTGATGCTAGCGGACATCCTGGATATCACGTGATGTTTTCACGTGATGGTTTTTGACCAATTACAGGCTGATCCGTTGTAAACATTGGTGTGCGTCATTACGCATGAACCAAGCGCTGATATAGTGTAGAGAGATAGAGAGACTCACGGAGACGCGCGATTCACAGAGAAACACAGCGAAATGGACGTAAATAAAGCGCTGGTCTATTTTGGTGCATTGCAGGATGAAGGATTTTCAGGAGAACAGAGCTTTTTGACAGATGAGGAACTAGATTACCAGGATAGACCCAGCTGAAGTGCCATTTATTTTTTTACTGTAAAAAAGTATTATAGTAGTATAAATGTATTATAAAAGAATAAAAAGAACATAATAAATAAAAGAATAAATAAAACAGAAATGCAAAACCTGTGATGTGGCCCTCTGTGTGATTGCTGATAGGAACTGTTTTGAGGCTTGGCACCAGTGAATTTCATGAGGCCCCAAACGCCTGGACTTCTTTTGGAAAAATGTCAATATTTTTTGTTCTGTACAAGTTATAATGTTTATTCCTGTGCTCCAGGACTCCAAAGACATGAACAAACTATTTTCCAGAGGAAAATTGCTTAGCTTTTATTTATTTGTGTGTGATTTCAATAAATAATTGAGTGATTCCATTTCCGATTTATTTTTTCATTTGTCTTTATGGTCCCATAACTTATTTTACATTCAGGTGACATCAATGTAACACAAATATGCTGAAAGTTCAATTTGTCCTGAAAAAAAAGAGGTGTGTCAATTGTCTGTGCACCAAAGGGTTGATATTTTTTAAGCTTTTTTAGTAAATGACACCAGACGGAAAATTTATTGTAAAAATACCCTTAGGTCTCAGAGGGTTAATGCTTCATACACATTTCTGTAAAACAGGCTGCGTTTACACTGGCACAAAAATCTGATCTTTTATTGGCATCTGACACAGATCGGGATTGGTTACACACGAGTAAACTCAAAAATACGCACCAGATCTGATTTACCTAACCCTTTCCGAGCCACTTCCAAATGTGGTTTGAAATCAGATTCATATCCGATATCTGGACATCCAACCTCTATGAGTGAGAGATAGTGAGAGTGTGTGAGAGCGTGAGAATGAGAGCGAGAGAGTGAAAGCGAGAGAGAGAGAGAGCGAGAGAGAGAGAGCGAGAGCGTGAGAATGAATGAGTGTGTGAGAGAGAGCGAGAGAGTGAGAGTGAGTGTGTGTGAGAATTCCAAGCCACCACAAGGCGAGGAAGACACCTTTATTCACAAAGAGCTTTTTAATGTTGTTTTATGAGGGAGATGTGCCTGTGTGCGCTCGCTCAAATGCTTTATATTGAGGTGGGAACTTTTTATTTATTTTTTATTTGTAAAGAAAATAAATTGCGTGAACACAGAAACAATCTGGTTTTCAGCCTCTGCCCGTGACTTATAATAAATAATAAAGCTTCCCTACTGAAACCTGCATTATATTTCTCAGCAATGACGTGATAACTTCACAGGATGCTACAAATTTTGCAGCTATATTTGAGCATTTGGCTTCTTCGCCAAGAATGAAACAGAGTTTTTGGGTTGGATTACAGGTGTTTTAAAACAGGTGCTACAGCTATTTAAATCTAGTGGGTCAGATGTCTCGCAAATACAATGATGCTGGCAGTGATGATTCTGGCTGACTCTGACCAATCAATGATCTGCAGTGTGTTCACGACAGTATCGGAACGGTACGCTTGGAACCTCAATAGAGGTGGTACCATTTACAGCGAGTCGAACCGAGCCGTGCCGTGCCGTACCATTCAGTGGAAAAGCGCCAATATTTAGCCGCTAGTGTGTGACGCAGTGTGAGACGCAGTGTGAGACGCAGTGTGTGACGCAGTGTGTGACGCAGTGTGTGACGCAGTGTGACGCAGTGTGACGGGGAGCTCCGCTGACCTGTAATAGCACTTCCCCAGCTGGACCTTCCACCACCAGTCCCTGAACTGAGCGTGCTCAGTGGCCGCCGCCGCCAGCTCCAGCGCCTGCACATGGGGACGAGGAGGCGTTAATGTCATACACACAGAAAACAGCTGTGACCACAACATCACACCAGACATACTTACATTTTTCACATCATTTTCATGATGAAAGATGTATTCAAACAAGGTCTTGTGTTTGAGGGGGAGAGACAGAGTAAATAAATGACGTTATTTTAAATAAGATTTCAGCGAGTCATGACGAAGACTTGATGATTATGTGCTAGTAATAATCAGATCACAGATATTACATTACATCATAATTAAAAGGAATTACTTCTTCCACAAAGTAACTTTTTCCAGAAAGATCGAAGAAGTTTGCCATGCAACTGATGTCGTTAGGCTAGCCTACCTTGGCCATGTTGGGTCTCTTAGCGTACTTGGCCAGGTTTATCCTGGAGAGGTTGATGAAGGGTCCATCGGGGTGTGTGAGCATGGAGGCCTGAGATGAGGACACAGAGATCAGGAACTGCTGTGTGTGTGTGTGCGTGTGTGTCAAGCGAGGGTTACTGGTCAAGTGACAAAGTGTACCAGAGTGTAATAATCACAGCCTTTGTGGTTAAAAAAAAACATGTTTCGTCATATCGTGATATTATCGCAAATGCAATGAAGGGTTGGCCCTGCTCGTACCGTTCCCAGCCGCACGAGTCTCCCTGAGGCGCTGGTGGCGGGCCGGGCCGAGCTGGCGGTGCGAGGGGTTCTGATGGCCTGCTCCATCGTCTCGGGTCTGCCCGTCAGTGTGCTGGGTCTCACGAACCCTGTGATGGGCCGCCCCGACTGAGTCATGGGTCTGCGCACATTACACAGGTGAGGCACAGGTGAACTTATGCCAAACACAACATTACAGGGATAGTTCACCCAAAAACGAAAATTCTGTCAGTAATTACTCACCCTCATGTTGTTCCAACCTCAAAACGCAGCCGCTCCAGTTCTTACCAGAACCAAGAAGATTGACCATATTAGCCCGCTTCTGTCAACCCTGCATTGGCTGCCTATTAAACATCGGATACATTTTAAAATATTGCTGATAACTTATAAAGCACTGAATGGTTTATCTCCAGTACTTGAGCGAGCTCTTAACGCATTATAGTCCTTCACGTCTATTGCGATCTCCAAACTCCGGCCACTTGATAATATCTAGAATATCTAAATCGACTGCAGGCGGGAGATCCTTTTCCTATTTAGCACCAAAACTCTGGAACAATCTTCCTAACATTGTCCGGGAAGCAGACACACTCTGGCAGTTCAAATCTAGACTAAACACCAGTGTTGGGAGTAACGCATTACAAAAGTAATACATTACAGTAACATATTACTTTTTGCTGTAACGCAGTAGTGTAAGGCATTACTAATCAATTTTCAGTAATATTTTACTCGTTACATGTTCAGTGAGGCTTGTATTACAGTTGTATTACAGTGTATTTTACTTCTTAAAGGCAACAGACTATGTGAAAGTTTTAAAGCAGTCTTTTAGTGCCAGTTCAGAGCGGTCGCGTCTGTAACATTGTTTTTCCCTCATAAATGCGAACACGAAAACTAAAATAAAATGAATATTTTAAGTTCTATGGAGACTGGAGAGCCAACCCTTCCTCATCCGATTTGCGCAGTGTAATTAACAGAATTACAAAAAATGTATTTTGCCTCCTATTTTTTTGTCACGCATGAATGTGTGTCTTTTCCCTAATATTAAAAATAAAACATAGACTGATATTTGTCTAATGTCTGCAGTCCTTTAAGGAAGTAGCCTATATACGTTTCAATACATGAATTTTCTGAGAATTTGTATTTCAAGTTTTGACTGCAAATGTCATGTCCATAATGCTGGACTTTCCCAATTTTAAATAATTTATCCTCAACTAGTTTTGTGGTGTCGGTCTACGTATTTTATTATGTTAACTTCAAATAATACTAATAGCCTAATTTAAAGATAAGGCAGCATTGGATCTGGACGGTAAGGAGAATAACGCTGGAGTTGGAAGAGGTGTGTCGCGATTCTGTAGGTTCGTGGATGTGGCGAATCGCGATTTTGGTTTCATATTGCATATCGTTACAGCCCAAAAGTTAAGTTCTACTTAGTTATTTGGGTGAAAGTAACTCAAAAGTAATACATGAGTAATGTAACGCATTACAATTCTGGGACAGTAATATTGTAAGGTAATGAATTACTTTTAAATAACAGTAACAAGTAATACCTAATGTATTACAGTTTGCAAGTAACTTGCACAACACTGCTAAACACACATCTCTCCGGCCTAGCACACACATAACACACTATAGACTTCCCAAACTCAAATTAGGCTGCAAAGTTTAGATCAGCTGGAACCGGGAACACGTCCCGTAAATCCTGATGTACATCAAAAGAAGGATGGCGTCTACGCTAATATCAGTTTCTCTGTTTATCCCGAGGGATCCTCTATGGTGGACCCGTCCCGACTCATCCTTAAGTGTCGGCCTCATCGACACGACAGCCATCGGCACTGATCCTCAACATCTCGTCTCCAAACCGGCGTGATTACTTCCACTTACAGACAGATGGAAATGGACAATTCTCTTAATGTTTCGATCCAATCTGACTTGTAATGCTGCCCGAATCACACACTGTTCTTTCATTGGCCAGAGGAGAACTGCCCCCGACTGAGTCTGGGTTCTCCCCAAGGGTTTTTTCTCCATTCTGTCCCTGATGGAGTTTTGGTTCTTCCACTGTTGCCTTGGCTTTTGGCTTGCTTAGTTGGGGACATTTAATATTCAACAATATTATTGATCTGCCTTACTTAAGGTGGACGTTGACGCAATTTTCTTCTACAAACAAACTTTGTTGTATTATTGTCATGTTATCACTGTGAAGCTGCTTTGATACAATCTGTAATGTAAAAAGCGCTATATAAATAAAAGTGACGTGACTTGACTTGATGAAAGCTGTCTCACTCTTTCATAGGCTTCTGGGTCATTTAATTCTGCCGGCCCAGAAAAGTAAGTAAAGACAGTGTTAAAATAGTCCAAATGTCTAGAGTGGCTCAACCTTAAGTTTATCAAGCGACGAAAATACTTTCTTTAGGCAAAAAAACACAAATAACGACTATTCAACTCTTCATGTTCTCCTGTGTGGGCCTCGAGTGAGTTAACGAGAGCCACGACACACACACACACACACAGAGAGAGAGAGACATGCGTGAGAACTGAGAAGATTACACAGATGGGTCTCGATGTTTAAAATGGTTCTAAAATGTGCATTTCCTGGATGTCCGAATCATGAGAAACCAACGAGAAAACGTAAAATTGCCTCACCGATGTCGCACAATGAATGTCTTACCTTTCACACTTTCTCATCAAATGATCATGAGTGTCATCTCACACATGCGTGGTGACTCTGTGTGTGTGTCGTGGCTCTCGGGAACTCACTCGAGGTCCACACAGAAGAAAACAAAGAGTAAAATAAAGACGTTATTTTTTTGTTGTTGTTTTTTTTGCACATAGAACGTATTCTCGTCGCTTGATAAATGTAAGGTCTAGACGCTGTAGTCACTTGGTCTATTTTAACAATGTATTAACTTTCTGGGCCGACAAGTTTCAATTACATAGAAGCCTATGGAGGAGTGATCCAGCTCTCAGATTTTATCAGAAATATCTTAATTTGTATTCCGAAGATGAAAGTCTTGCGGGGTTGGAACAACATGAGGGAGAGCCATTACTGACATAGTTTTCATTTTTGGGTGGACTAACCCTTTAACAACAACAAGATCAAACATCATGATACTTCTGTGAGGTTATGTCAACCACACAAATAACAAGAACAACATCAAACATATTAAAATATGCTACAAATAAACAGCAGAGTGAATATTTATTAAATTACACACAGGCGGACAAAAAGGCACACAAAAAGGCACACACAGGCGGACAAACAGGCGGACACACAGGGGGAGACACGGGAATGAATGAATAAGTCAAAACAACATATATGCGACTGACCTACTCATGACACCTAGTTATTCAGATATCTGTCTTTCTTTCTTTCTTTCATTATTTATATATTTATGGAAGGCGGGGAGTTTTGGCGTCATCAATGACGTTTGCAATGATAAGAAGATCAGTGTGGAGACAGATACGCCTCACACCATCATATTCAAGGTTTCAGTGTAGCTTTAAACACCAGAGGTCAGAGGTCACCTGACAGCTGGAGTGGGCGCTCCGCCCTGGCTCGTTCCCAGAAGTCTCAGCGATGTTCCTGGACCTGACAAAACCAAAACAAGAGTAAGATCGTCAGTTCCTCCAGATGGAATACCCTGAACATCTGCGTCAGGGGCTAACAGACAGTAGGGGGAGCTGTCACAACTTCTGAGAGAGTACACAAACTCCTGATCAAAACACATTGTTGACGCACGTTATAGTCTTTGCCGAAAAAGTTTTTTTCTCCACATTTTGTTCAAAATGTTGCTTTTTTATTGAAACTTACCCATATTCAAGTGTTGATAAAACGGGTGAATAAAACGGGTGTTTTGTTTAAAAGCAGTGGCTCTATTCTTTCTTTGGATATATTGTTTATTCAGATATTCAAACAACAAAATATTCTAAAGGCCACACTTCTGTGAAAATGATCAAAAATGCTGCTGGTTAGTGCTGCCCAAAAATGCTGCCTAACCCCAATGCTGCAGGACACTTTCTTATAAAACGCTAATGAGGAAAGAAGCGCAGTTCCTGTAAAGGCCTAAACATGTTGAAAGACAACACTGAATGTGTGTTGATGTGTGTATAATATGTGTTCACTCACGTGCCACCTGGGCGATGGAGCTCTCGTCCAACATCATCTCAGCGATGCCCTCCTGATCCACCTCCACCTCATCCACGAACACCATCTCCGTCAGAGCCCGAGTCTTCAAGCTCCACGCCGCCTAAAACATCATTATCATACTCTTCATCATCATCATCATACACTTCATCATCATCACAACCCTCATCATCACCATCCAGAACACCATATCCATAGTGACATGAGTCTGCACAGTAGTGAACGCTACGGCAATCGAGACTCAGGGTTTATGAGCTATACTGAGACCAGCCAAGGGGGGCGATCGAATCTGGTGTTATGAGCTATACTGGGACCAGCCACCGGGGGCGATCGAGACTCTGGGTTTATGAGCTATACTGGGACCAGCCACCGGGGGCGATCGAGACTCTGGGGTTATGAGTTATACTGGGACCAGCCACCGGGGGGCGATCGAGACTCTGGGGTTATGAGTTTTACTGGGACCAGCCACCGGGGGCGATCGAGACTCTGGGTTATGAGCTATACTGGGACCAGCCACCGGGGGGCGATCGAGACTCTGGGGTTATGAGTTTTACTGGGACCAGCCACCGGGGGCGATCGAGACTCTGGGGTTATGAGCTATACTGGGACCAGCCACCGGGGGGCGATCGAGACTCTGGGTTTATGAGCTATACTGAGACCAGCCAAGGGGGGCGATCGAGATTCTGGTGTTATGAGCTATACTGGGACCAGCCACCGGGGGCGATCGAGACTCTGGGTTTATGAGCTATACTGGGACCAGCCACCGGGGGCGATCGAGACTCTGGGGTTATGAGTTATACTGGGACCAGCCACCGGGGGCGATCGAGACTCTGGGTTATGAGTTTTACTGGGACCAGCCACCGGGGGCGATCGAGACTCTGGGGTTATGAGCTATACTGGGACCAGCCACCGGGGGGCGATCGAGACTCTGGTGTTATGAGCTATACTGGGACCAGCCACCGGGGGGCGATCAAGACTCTGGGGTTATGAGCTATACTGGGACCAGCCACCGGGGGGCGATGGAAACTCAGGGTTTTTGAGCTATACTAGGACCAGCCACCGGGGGGCGATCGAGACTCTGGGTTATGAGCTATACTGGGACCAGCCACCGGGGGCGATCGAGACTCTGGGGTTATGAGCTATACTGGGACCAGCCACCGGGGGCGATCGAGACTCTGGGTTTATGAGCTATACTGGGACCAGCCACCGGGGGCGATCGAGACTCTGGGGTTATGAGTTATACTGGGACCAGCCACCGGGGGGCGATCGAGACTCTGGGGTTATGAGTTTTACTGGGACCAGCCACCGGGGGCGATCGAGACTCTGGGGTTATGAGCTATACTGGGACCAGCCACCGGGGGGCGATCGAGACTCTGGAGTTATGAGTTATACTGGGACCAGCCACCAGGGGGCAATCGGAACTCAGGGTTTTTGAGCTATACTGGGACCAGCCACCAGGGGGCAATCGGAACTCAGGGTTTTTGAGCTATACTGGGACCAGCCACCAGGGGGCGATCGAGACTCTGGGGTTATGAGCTATACTGGGACCAGCCACCAGGGGGCGATCGAGACTCTGGAGTTATGAGTTATACTGGGACCAGCCACCGGGGGGCGATCGAGACTCTGGGGTTATGAGCTATACTGGGACCAGCCACCAGGGGGCGATCGAGACTCTGGGGTTATGAGCTATACTGGGACCAGCCACCGGGGGCGATCGAGACTCTGGGGTTATGAGCTATACTGGGACCAGCCACCGGGGCGATCGAGACTCTGGGGTTATGAGTTATACTGGGACCAGCCACCGGGGGGCGATCGAGACTCTGGGGTTATGAGCTATACTGGGACCAGCCACCAGGGGGCGATCGAGACTCTGGGGTTATGAGCTATACTGGGACCAGCCACCGGGGGCGATCGAGACTCTGGGGTTATGAGCTATACTGGGACCAGCCACCGGGGCGATCGAGACTCTGGGGTTATGAGTTATACTGGGACCAGCCACCGGGGGCGATCGAGACTCTGGGGTTATAAGCTATACTGGGACCAGCCACCGGGGGGCGATCGAGACTCTGGGGTTATGAGTTATACTGGGACCAGCCACCGGGGGGCGATCGAGACTCTGGGGTTATGAGTTATACTGGGACCAGCCACCGGGGGCGATCGAGACTCTGGGTTATGAGCTATACTGGGACCAGCCACCGGGGGCGATCGAGACTCTGGGGTTATGAGCTATACTGGGACCAGCCACCAGGGGGCGATCGAGACTCTGGGGTTATGAGTTATACTGGGACCAGCCACCGGGGGCGATCGAGACTCTGGGGTTATGAGCTATACTGGGACCAGCCACCGGGGGCGATCGAGACTCTGGGGTTATGAGTTATACTGGGACCAGCCACCGGGGGTCGATCGAGACTCTGGGGTTATGAGCTATACTGGGACCAGCCACCAGGGGGCGATCGAGACTCTGGGTTATGAGCTATACTGGGACCAGCCACCAGGGGGCGATCGAGACTCTGGAGTTATGAGCTATACTGGGACCAGCCACCGGGGCGATCGAGACTCTGGGGTTATGAGCTATACTGGGACCAGCCACCGGGGCGATCGAGACTCTGGGGTTATGAGCTATACTGGGACCAGCCACCGGGGCGATCGAGACTCTGGGGTTATGAGTATACTGGGACCAGCCACCGGGGCGATCGAGACTCTGGGGTTATGAGTTATACTGGGACCAGCCACCGGGGGCGATCGAGACTCTGGAGTTATGAGTTATACTGGGACCAGCCACCAGGGGGCGATCAGACTCTGGAGTTATGAGTTATACTGGGACCAGCCACCAGGGGCGATCGAGACTCTGGGGTTATGAGTTATACTGGGACCAGCCACCGGGGGGCGATCAAGACTCTGGAGTTATGAGTTATACTGGGACCAGCCACCGGGGGCGATCGAGACTCTGGGTTATGAGCTATACTGGGACCAGCCACCAGGGGGCGATCGAGACTCTGGGTTTATGAGCTATACTGGGACCAGCCACCGGGGGCGATCGAGACTCTGGAGTTATGAGCTATACTGGGACCAGCCACCAGGGGGCGATCGAGACTCTGGAGTTATGAGTTATACTGGGACCAGCCACCAGGGGGCGATCAAGACTCTGGAGTTATGAGTTATACTGGGACCAGCCACCAGGGGGCAATAGAAACTTAGGGTTTATGAGCTATACTGGGACCAGCCATCATCTTCTTCATCATCTATAAACCATCACAACCCCTCTTTATCATCATCTTCATCTTCATCATCTATAAGCATTCATAACCCTCGACATGATCATCATCAACTACAAACCATCACAACCATAACATCATCATCATCATCATCTTCATCACTGTACAGCCATCACAACCATAACATCATCATCATCATCATCATCATCATCTGTACACCATCACAACCCACAACATCATCATCTTCATCATATATACACCATCACAACCCTCATAATCATCTATAAACCACCACAACCGTCATCATCATCTTCATCATCTATAAGCCATCACAACTCTCATCATCATCTTCATCATCTATAAGCCATCACAACTCTCATCATCATCTATTAACCATGACAACCCTCATCATCATAATCATCTTCATCATCTATTAACCATCACAACCCTCATCATCATCATCATCATCTTCTTCTTCATCATCTATAAACCATCAAAACCCCTCATCATCATCTTCATCATCTATTAACCACCATCACAACCTCATCATCATCTTCTTCATCATATATAAACCATCAAAACCCCTCATCATCATCTTCATCATCTATAAACCAACACAACCCTCATCATCATCATCTTCATCATCATCTATACACCATCACAACCCTCATCATCATCATCCTCATCATATATACACCATCACAACTCTCAGCATTATCATCATCATCTTCACTCTCTGAGAGCAACAGGAGACACTGGGAGTATAACAGATAACACTGTGAGTATAACACTGGGAATACTGGGAGTATAATCCTGGGAGCTTAACACAGGGGTTACTGTGAGTATAACACTGGGAATAATGGGAGTATAATACCAGGGGCGTAGCGGCACTGGCCCACCCACACTACTCACTGGCCCGCCCAGGCAAGTTTGATAAAAAAATACATTTTTAGTTTATTTTTATAATTCAAATGTATTTAAGAAAATATAATATATAGCTGATTTATTGTTGAATGCTGTGACATGTTTAATTCGTTTTGCCGAATAAAATGCAACTGTCGAAGCAAGTTGTAGAAAGCCTCCCTCTCCCGAACGTTATGGTTAACTAATAATAATAATTGGTTGCTATGGTTGCTGGGGGTTCCGATAGGAAAACTCTCGGCGGCGCCCTAATAATGGCTAAACAACTTTCTTTAATGTGCTATTTGGAAAAAGCGAGACACGCCACTGCCTTCATCTATCGAGTCCACCCAGCCCAGTTCTTCAGACTCAGTAACCCACGATATTATTATTTTAGCTTACTTTATTTTCGGGTGAACTGTCTTTGCACTGCTGACTAGCCTGAATAAAATAGACAAGTTATTGTCTACACTGGTTTGTCCAGCAGAGGTCGGACACTTTTTCACAGTGCTTCATTGACTTTCAACACAGGCGTCTCATATTTTTGGTCTCGGCAGGCTATTACCATCGTAGTTTTATCCAAAATATGGTTAAACGTTGTGCCTCGGGCATTTGTAACACAGATACGCGTTTCCCAGAGAGGTTGGAGGGGGGTGTCCGTTTTTTCCCTTCCAAAAACCGAAGTCAAATCCTGACAGTGACAAGTGGCGTGTTTGGATTAAACTGTATGGACGTCCTCAGTCAGCTAAACCCCTCAAAGATCAACAAGCACATCTTTTTTTACTTCTAACTTTACTGTGACTGTGAAGTTATACTAGTTAGACCGTTTTATAATGTTTTAGGTTATGATTTCGCTGCTAATAAACACAACCTTATAGAGTATTCGTGTAGTCCGTTTGCTTTGTAATAACGATTATAGAAGTGAATAGAGACCCACCCAGCTCTGCATGAACAGTGTTGCTCCCTGATATTGTTAGTCCCAGCCTCCGTCTCCATTAGTAGGAAATGCGGTGGTTCATTTTTTGACTGTGAGCGGTAACGTTATGCTTTTGCTTCTATTTCGGATCCCTTGTTGTTTCTTGCGTTGCACCTGTATGTCTTGAATATATAGCCTTCGAACGCATATTTTTGCCTACTTCTATCAGACACTTTATTTGCTGCTTTATAAAAGTTTGATAACATTTGATCAGGAAGAGCTGTCACAGCATAAGCCTTGCAGAGCGCAGGTGAAGTTTGACGGATGTAGCAACAGTAACTAAGGGGGGCGGGGCTTAGCCAAAGGTGAATTGAGCTCTATGGGCTATATAAGTTCCGAATTTGACGCAAGGATGCTCGTCCATTTCCGGTTGTGGAGATTAAAGCGGAGGAAAACCGAGGAAAACGGGATTATGGCAAAATGGGATTATCTTCAAAATCTACTGTCCTCCCGTCTTTGAAACGAAACGTACATACTTTTAGATGTAATTTTATATATAGTTATGTTTATTTAATATAATTTTAAAGAGAAGCATAAACACAACGAGGGGTGTCTGTTTTATCTGTTTTTGTGACTAACGTTTCTTAGTATAACCATGGAGTATAAAATTCAATATAAATTCTCGGTATTGCATTGGACTCTACGATCGGCGGAAGTTATCGAACATCCTTAATCCTTCACCGGAAATACCGCCGTGCATAGAGCCCATTGGTTGAACATAATGATTTGCTGAATATGAAGTGTTACTGTTTTTGCAGTTTGTCTATTAATTTTCTACTCTCTAAAGTTAATTAATTGAAGTATTTTTTTTTAATGAAAACCTATAGGCCCACTCACATTTTCACTGGCCCACCCAAAATACCATTTCTGAATTTCTGCCTACGCCACTATATAATACTGGGAACTATAACACTGGGAACACTGGGAACATAGCACATCTGAGAAGGCTAACATTGCTCTACAGTCAGCTAACCTTACCTCAGACACTTGAGCACCACCAGACTCCTGGCAAACAGCAACAGTGAAGAAGAGTGTGAACACTTCATTTATATTTCAAACACTGATGTGAATCAGCACATGATCACTGAAACCTGGCTGTTGTTACATTAGCCAGTTTAATAAACACCGCTCGCGACAGTAACTGTTAGATAATAATGCGCTTATGAGCGCTAATCCTCAGCTAGCCTGCTAACTGTGCTCACCTGGTCAAACGGGCTCTCTGAGAGGATCTTCGAGCAGATATCAGCACTTCTCTGGAGCTGGCGTCTCCGGCAGCAGCTCCAGGCCAGGAACAGCGGGTCCATCGACACAGACACCTCCATCACACGCGCTAATACACAGAGAAATCTCGCCGAGAAACCCTGGCCGTCTCCGGCGAGCGAGTGAGCCCTGAGTGCGCCGCTGCAGTGACGTCAGCACGCGTAACGTTTCCCTGGCAACGCGGGGGCGGGGATAAAGCACGTGCTCAGCTAAACACAACAAAAACACATGCACATTAAGAGACATAACAAAATATTTGAGAAAAAAATCTGTTGTCAGATAAAATAACAGTGCAATCATAACAATTATGCGCTTTGATGACAATAATAAAATGATAATAGTGACATTAACGTTTTAAGAATTTAAGCTGATTTTGGATTATATTTTTTATATTTGTATATTTTGGCTCATATTTTCCACATAATATGCAACTCTTGAAACTAACAGTTTCCAAAAACACCTTTACATCAACACGATTCCCGCCATAATATGCCGACTCCGGAAGTGACGTGTTGCGGGGGTCAGGAAAGCTCTTTCATCTTTTTTTTTTTTTTTTTTTTTGAACACAAAGCACAGGGGATACATCAAGTACAAAAATAGATAAAATTAAAAAAAAAAAAAAAAAAAAAAAACATTATGCACAAAGACGACGTAGAAGCAAGGCAGTACAAAAGGGACCGTTCAGTAAACAAAAAAACAAACAAAAAAAAAAAGATCACGAAACAAGCACATCAATACAGGAGGTGATTTACAAAGAAACCATAATTTTTTTAAGCAACAAAGTAGTTTTAGCAGCTTTCTTATTAGCTGATAAACAAAGAGAGTCGTAAAATAATTTTAAATCAACACAAAAAAGTTTAAAGTTGGGCTTAGATTCAGTTACTTTACATTTATGAAGATGAAATTCACCGCATAAAGTAAGCAGCTTTAATCTGTCATCCATCTCCTTTGACCCCGAGTCCCAAGTCAAAAACAACACATTAACAACCTCAAAAGTAAAGAGTTTGTAATAAGCAGAAAAAATAAGCCAGGCTACTCTTTTCCTAAACTCCTTTACATAATCACATTCAAAAAACAAATGTGGTATTTTTTCAAGGTAAGAATTACAGAATGTGCAGTGTGAAGAGACGTCCAACTTAAATTTAGAAAGAAGAGAGTTACAGGGATAGTAATTTTGTAAAATTTTAAAATGAAGCTCCTTCCACTTGTTAGGTAACAGAAACCTATTAATGCCAGTCCATGTATTAATGGTAGAAAGAGAAGGATAATTTAATTTCCATTTGAAAAAGGCTTTGGGATGACAGCTGATCTTCCTAATAAGAAATCTTCTAATCCAAAAATTGTTACATTTGCCATTGGAAATCTCCAAACCTCCAATAGATAACTGGGGCATTTCACAAACGGATGCTCTGTAGCTACAGTATGACCTAACCATATGCAAAAGTTTAGGAGAAATAGAATTAATAACCCCGTTATAAACTGCATGTGAGGAATTCACTCCAAAAAGATTGATAAATTCATTATAGGAATAAAAGCTGCCATCCTTCTTAAACAAATCCAAAACAAAAATAACACCTTTGTCAACCCAATCCTTAATAAAGATAGATTTTTTTCCACGCAGCACATACTGATTATTCCATAATGCTCCTATGAGGGGAAAAATTGTGGCAAAAGGCAAGCTTACAGGCCTCCAAGGCTTGCTTATGAAAATTAGCAAGCTTGAACGGAAGTTTGTTACATTTAAAATCACAAGACAATAAAAAATGTAACCCCCCACATTTTTCAAAGATAAATTTAGGATGTAAAACCATAACAAACTAGAATCAGCATTCAGGCAGCGTTTAATCCAGCCGATCTTGAAAACCTGATTGAGAGTACTGAAGTCCAAAGCATTCACACCTCCCTCCAAAGTATTTCTTATCAAAGTCTTTCTTTTAACATATTCAGTTTTATTTTTCCACAAGAATTTAAAAAGAATAGAGTCGATAGATGAGCAAGTTTTCGGATTGACATATAAGGACAAAGCTGGGTAAACAATCCTAGAAATGCCTTCAGCTTTAGATATCAAGACACGACCATAAATAGTTAAGTTTCTTTGTAGCCAGCAATTGAAGACATTCTTTAGTTTTTTTGTCCGTTGTGAAAAGTTATCTAAAATTCTATCTTTGGGAGATTTACTTATTATAATGCCTAAATATCTAACAGAGCTTTTAACCTCAATGCCTTCTATATGACCTTTTTCAATACTGTGAATAGGCATGATTTCACTTTTATTTCGGTTAACAGCGAGACCAGAAGCATTAGAAAATGCTTTTAAGGCTTCCAAAATAACATGAACCTGTTTCTCATCTTTTAGAAACACACAGGTGTCATCCGCCAGTTGGCTAATTAGAAAAGTATGTTCAACTACAACAATACCCTGAACATCTACACAGCGGGAAATAAAAATATTAAGAAACTCAGCGACTAATAGAAACAAAAAAGGTGAAAAAGGACACCCTTGTCTGATGCCCCTCCTAATCGTAAACCGGGGAGAAACACCATTTACCAATGACACATTGCTGTTAATATTTTTGTAAAAAGTCTGAACTATTCTAATAAAGGAAGGGCCAAAACCAAATTTGCGCAACGATTCAAACATGAACTCATGCTCGACCGTATCGAAGGCCTTATAAAAATCTAAAAACAAAATGATTGCACTATCGTTGATCAATTCATTGTAATCTAAAATATCTAAAACAAGCCGAATGTTATTTGCTATATGCCTACCTTTCATAAAGCCAGATTGGGAAACTGAAATAATTTCTTCTAAACATGGTTTTAAACTATTTGCGTAAAGAGAAGCTAACAATTTATAATCCGAATTAAGTAAGGTAATTGGGCGCCAATTATCTAAGTATAAAGAATCTTTGTTAGGCTTTGGGATTAAAGTGATCAAACCCTGCTTCATGGATTCAGTTAATTCACCTTTTATTACACAGTCTTTGAAAACTTCCAAAACAAGCTTTTTTATATCTTGCCAAAAGGTCCTATAAAATTCGAAAGGCAGTCCATCTGGACCAGGGCTTTTATTGAGGGGGGCTTTTTGGATAATTCTATCTAACTCTTCCATAGTTAAATCCATCTCACAGGACGAACGATTTCCATCACTTATAATAATGCTTGAACCCTCTCAAAAAAACTATCAGCAAACTGAGGATTAAATGAAGAAGAATAAAGCTGTGAATAAAAATTGGAAACAAAATTAGAAACTCTAGTTTCATCTGTGACCAAATTGCCCTCAATATTTAGAGAAAATATTTTCTTAGACTTCCCTCTTTTCTTTTCTGAATTAAAAAAATAAGCTGAATTTTTTTCCCCGAATTCTAGCCACTTAACTCTAGATCTAATAAAGGCACCCTTAGCTTTTTCTGCATAAAAATTATTTAATTCTTCTTTAAGGTTGTGCATTTTAACTTTATCATCTTCACTTGTCTGTTTCTTGCCTAAAATGTGATTAATTTCATTTAATATAGAGGTATACTTTAAAGATTTTGCCTTTGCTAACTGTTTACTAAATCGAATAGAGAATTTTCTACACTCGTATTTAAACATTTCCCAATTAGAAGATATTGAAGCAGCAGGTTTTGCTTTAAATTGTTCAATTATGCTCTTAAAGGACAACTCCGGCGCAAAATGAACCTTTGGTCTAATTACACATTGTTACCTAGTCAACCGTTATCTGAGATTTGTTTTCATGATTGCCGAATGTAAATAGTTTTATCTCTAAAAACAGTTTAGCCTATAACGCTAGTATAATGCTAGTATATAGGGCATAGAGTAATGACAAATAAAAATTGCTTGTTATTACCACTAAAAAGGCTCAAAATAGCCCCACAGTAACACGACAGCATAATAAGGGTCCCTACATTCAAACCGAAGCATTGAGAACTTTGTCAGTGTCCATACAGTTTAATAAGCAGATATTTTATACACACAGTCAACTTCGCGAACAGGAAGAAGCCATCTTTGAAAAATAGCCTCTACCAGTCGATCTACGAGCGCTGATCCAAGTGAAGTTTCGTCAGTCTCTGCTGTGTTGTGTGTGTGTGTGTGTGTGTGTGTGTGGGTGTGTGTGTGTGTGTGGAAGTGAAGCTGAACTGAGGATCGTGTCCATAAAAGGCATCAGAGCAGATGTGAACATCACACATGAGGAGTCACACACACACACACACACACATGTGTGAAAACACTGCATGATTTTAAACACAGTCCGTGGTTTCACCATATCCTTAATATTACATGATTTACATGTGCAGCAGAAAACCTGTTTGCCTAAAAATGTAACAAACAAACAAACAAACAAACAAGCAAACAAACAGGCTCATGCAGTAACACTAATGTCGTCATCAACTGACACGCGTGACGAGACATCAGAGCACACAATACCCACACACACACACACACACACACACACACACACACACACACACACACTAATAATGTGGAATGGTGACAGATCCAGAACCTGCACTGGAAGTGTCAGTTGTAGTGTGTTTGCTCTTCCTCTTTCTCTGTCCGAGGAATGAAACAAAAGACGCGATCTGAACACGAACCAGTTCCTCATCATTCCACTGTACCATTATCACATTATCTGAGCCGCTGGTGTGCACAGACAAATAAGGTAAACCCCAGTCCTCACGTGTCAAGACAAGCTAAAATTAACCCAGTGAACGAACAGCTGAGCGCCGAACACACACACACACACACACGCGCGCGCGCGCGCGCGCCTTTGTCTGTCCACGCGCGCTGTGTGACAATAACACGACACGATGACACGATTCAGTTATGCCGAATATATCTCCTTATTTCGAACAAATGACACAAAACGAAACTCATCACGACAGAAAACCTCCTCATCTGAGAGAGACATCGAGCCGACAGAGTGAGTCCTTTCAGTCCGTGTGTGTGTGTGTGTGTGTGTTTACTCTAATGATTCAGTTTATACGGTTTATATGATATGATAATGACGGGTGTGTGACAGGTTTGTTCCTCATGACCTTCAGCTGTCAGTTTAAAGCGGGTGTTTTGTGACAGCTCAAATCCGTGTCCCGTGTTCGCCGGGGCTAGTTGTCACACTCAGTTCTCAGTGTGTGTCGAGTTTTAAATCATGACATTCACATCGGGACAGCTTTAGCGAGTCATCTGTGCATCTGTGCCTGGTGT